TTCCAGGCAGGTCCCTTCCTTCCCTCAGGCTCCCAGCTGGGTTTGGTTTGGAAGGAGACAGGGCGCAAGAGGTCTTTCGGGGCGCTTCTCCCCTGCCCCTCCCTGTGTGGGCGCCTTGCGTCTCCAGTGGTGGTTCATCCCCCCCAGGGCGGTCCCTCCACCCAGGCGCATGTCCACTGAGCCCCCTGCTACCCACACCCAGGCCAGGGGTCAGGGGCAGCCCCCAGGGGCTCTGCAGCTTCCTTGGGACTCTGACAGGGGTTCCCAAGCTGACATCCTCTAACACTGGGAAGGATTAGAATCCAGTGTCGAGGTGCAGGAATCAATCAGACACGGAGAGCTGGTACTTTCTGCCAGGTTCAGGAATCATCGGAAAGGATTTGTCTTTAATGACGAAAACAGCTGAGAAAAGTCAGCGTACTGAAGACTCTGCCGGCTAATCCTCTGATTCCATTTTAACGTGTATAACTGAGGATTGATTCTCAATTTGCGATTTAAAATTGGACCTTGTCAGAGAATTTTAAACATTTGCAAACAATACCGAAATGCTTCAGAGAAGTTGAGATTTGGTATAAGTTTAATATACTAGACACTCTAGAGTTTTGAAGCGCTTAGGGGAACTTCTGCCATGATATCAGGCGTTCAAAGAGAAAAGAAAATACGCCGCATTTGTGTCATTTTAAACGTTCAAGGGAATTGAATTAACTAAAGGCAGAAATGGAACTGATCGTTGTTTAATAGCATCTAATCTGCTAAACTGAGTTAATCAAGCATTAATCAAAGAAAAGGGGAAGCTGAGTGTTCTTACTTATTTATAACCACAGTAATATGGTCTCTAGGTTTAACTGAAAAGCTTAAAGCAAACAGGTTTGGAAAGGTGTAACTTCAATAAACTGTATATAAATTTTTAAAAACCAACCTTAAATAATCTTTTCTGTGACCTAAGTCCCTACAGACAAACAAAAACCTAAATGAAACCCCAGAAAAAAACCACAAAATCCACAAGGACCCCAAACCAATCAGAGTTCAGCCCCACATCAGCAGAGCTCGGCCACAGTGGACCCCGAGGCCTGGCCCCCGGCCGCTGCCCTTCCGTCCATCCGTGGGTGTTTACAGAGCGCTCAGTAGTGCTCCAGGCCCCGTGCAGAGCAAGCCTGGCCGGCTTACGGTCCGCAGAGTGGCGGCTGGGCGGAGGCCGGTTCTCAGAGTGGGTTCCCTGGACCGACAGAGTCAGTGGCCCTTGGGAATCTGTTGGAAATTAAGATTCCTGGCTGGGCTTCCCTGGTGGCACAGCGGTTAGGAATCCGCCTGCCAGTGCAGGGGACACAGGTTCGAGCCCTGGCCCGGGAAGATCCCACATGCCGCAGAGCTACTGAGCCCATGTGCCACAACCACTGAGCCTGCGCTCTAGAGCCCGTGAGCCACAACTACCGAGCCCGCGTGCCACAACTACTGAAGCCCGTGCCCCTACAGCCCGTGCTCTGCAACAAGAGAAGCCACCGCAATGAGAGGCCCGCGCACCGCAACGAAGAGGGCCCTCCACTGGCTGCAACTAGAGGAAGCCCGCGCGCGGCAACGAACACCCATCGCAGCCAAAAGTAAACAAATAAATGAATTTTTAAAAAAAGATTCCCGGGCTCCACCCTGCCATACTGAATCCACATCTCTGGGTTGGGGCCCAGTGATCTATTTTAAGGAGCCTCTAAGGGATTCTGGTGCAGCTGGAGTCTGAGAACCAGGCCCAGAGACCAGCCTCACCCTTCTGGTAGGTCTCCTGGCCCCTCCTGCTCTGCCTGTGAACGTGCTCTGCTCAGCGCTCTGAGTGGTAGAGCGGCTGTCAGAGCATCCTGGGGCCTCACTTGAGACAGCCTGGGACCTGGAACCTGGGCCCCTTTGCTGCAGTGCTTGTACCTGGACACACCTCTCCTCCAGCAATAAATACGAAGAAACTATACGGGACTAAAAATAAATGCACGCATGTGCAGCTGCTGCAAATTCTGGACAAAAGATACAAAAAGACCAAATAAAACCCAGCTGCCGCTTCTGAAGAGCCGGGAGCAAAAACAGGGTGTCAGGAGCAAAAGCAGGGCACCGAGCAGGCCCCCTGCAGTCAGCACCACCTGGGCGCTGGGCAGACCACCTGAGCCACGCCTCCAGCCCGACCCCTGGACACACCCCTACCCTCACCCCGTGTAAGGGACCAGCCCCCCCTCAGGGAGCGGGCAAGCAAGGGAAGCTGTTGTTTGGTCTCCGCACCCCCCCCCCCACCAGCTGCAGCAGGGGCCCCCGTAAAGCCTTGCCTGAATTTCCTGTCTGGCCTCAGGCCAATTTCTATCGACTGGGGAAGGCCAAGAACCCTGGTCGGTACATCAGGACTCAGCACCCCGGCTAACTGTGATTCTTGTCCCATATACTGTCCTAAAAATTGGGAAGTCACTGCACACGCTGGCTTCCTCTGTTTTACATCCAGAAACAGCTCTGAACCTCAGGCTTGGCTGCTGGTGGCTGGGAGCTCGTGGCCCACCTGCTGCTGCAGGACTTGCTCAGTTCACTGGCCGTCCCCAAACCCTGAGCCTCGGCCTCTCTGAAGAGGGGCCGGAGGCCACGTCAGTGAGGTCAGAGGTGACAGCGTGGGAGTCACATCCCTGGCCTCTGGCTCTAGCTTCCCAGCTGCTGGCAGCCTCGCTCCCACACAGCCAGAGCCCCGTGGGCCACCGTCATTTCCAGGCCGTTGGAGCTGCCCTGCTTCACAGTTTGGACCCATGACCAAGCTCAGTCAGCTTCCCCTGGAGAGAGGACATCACCAACCGGGGCACCAACAGCTGCCTAAGTTACTCTGCCCCCGGATGGGACGCTCTTGGTGCTGGCAATGCTGATAATTAAGAATAATCAGGGGCTTCCCTGGTAGCACAGTGGTTGGGAGTCCGCCTGCCGATGCAGGGGACACGGGTTCGTGCCCCAGTCTGGGAGGATCCCACATGCCGTGGAGCGGCTGGGCCCGTGAGCCGTGGCCGCTGAGCCTGTGCGTCCGGAGCCTGTGCTCCGCAACGGGAGAGGCCACAACAGTGAGAGGCCCGCGTACCGCAAAAAAAAAAAAAAAAAAAAAAGGTCTAAAAAAAAAGAGAGAGGAAACTTAAAACAGTGGTTTTTTAAAAATAAATAAATAAATAAAGGGGTAATCAGGTTAAAACAAGGTCATTCAGGTGGGCCCTAATCCAGTGTGACTGGTGTCCTTCTAACGGGGAGCACACACAGAGGGAGGGGACGTAAAGACACAGGGAGAAGACGGCCATGTGATTGGAGGGTCGCATCTACAAGCACCAGGGTTAACAGCAAATACCGGGAGCTGGGAGAGGCAGGAAGGACCCTTCCTGGGAGCCCCCAGGGGGCGCAGCCCCGGAGACTTCAGACTCCAGCCTCAGCGCAGTAAGAGGAGGGGGCCGTGGCTTTAGGCCTCCCGGGTGACGGTACTCTGTCAAGGCTAACAGATCCAGTGTCAAAAACTCTTTGATTTGGGGGCTCTGGTGTCGCCACTGGGTAGACAGCTAACCAGCTGGTTAGTTAGGCTTGAGCTAGTGGGGATCTGCGCTCCAGCCCCTGGTACCAATGGCTAAGCTGCTTCCCCATCCTGGGCCTCTGAGCATTCTGTGTGGAGCGGGGTCACAGCACCTCAGAAGGAGCACTTGTGCGTGAAGGGCAAGGAATTGGTGACCTGGTGACCTGGTCGTAACCCACGACCTGGTGCTGAGGGCTCAAACCTGAACTCTCCTTTGGTACCCCAGGTCCACAGTCCTTGAAAGCCCTGTCCATCCCTCTCTGGATGGGCTGTGTCACGTCACGTTAATCATGCTGTGACCATCCCGCTGAGCCATGAACAGAGCCCAGGATACTAGCCTTTGACTGGGCTCCGAACCCAACCTGATTTTATCCTAAGAATACACTGAACCAAGGAGGTGAAAGGCCTGCACACTGAAAACTACAAGACATTGATGAAAGAAGTTGAAGAAGACACAGATAAATGGAAAAGTATCCATGCTCATGGATTGGAAAATGTTGTTAAAATGACTGTACTACCCAAAGCAATCTACAGATTGAGTACATCCCTATCAAAATGCCAATGACATTTTTCCTCAGAAATAGACCAACCAATCCTATAATTTGTGTGGAACCACAAAGACCCCAGAGCAATCTTGAGAAAGAAGAACAAAGCTGGAGGCATCACACTCCCTGATTTCAAACTACATTGCAAAGCTACAAGAATCAAAACATATGGCATTGGCATAAAAACATTCCATAGATCAATGGAACAGAATACAGAACCCAGAAACAAACCCATGCACACATTGTCAATTAATTTACAACAAAGGAGCCAAGAATATACAACGAGGAAAAGATAGTCTCCTCAATAAATGGTGCTGGGAAAACCGGACAGCTCCATGCAAAAGAGTAAAGCTGGACCACTATCTTACACCATACAGAAAAATTAACTCAAAATGGACTAAAGCTTTGAGCATAAGGCCTGGAATCATAAAATTCCTAGAAGAAAACGTCCTCTCTGGAGCCTTCTCTACAAGCTGCCCCCCCCAGGAGCAGCCGTGGGGAATTCAGACGCTCACAACCCCCATCTGCACACTGCTTTACACACATCCACCAAGACAAGCCCACGAAACAGGGTGGGTCTCCTCGTCGCCATCGCGCAAACTCCCCAAGCCGAGGACCAGCCTTTACAATTTCCACCCCCCCACCAGCCCCCACCTTAGTGCAGTGCAACGGAACGCGTGGCCTGAGAAAGAAAGTCACATCCAAAACACAACCTCTTGTCACCATATTCATAATGTTTCCCAGTCCCGCTGCCATCGAGGTTTCTTACATTGACCTAAGTTTGGGGGCCTTACGTCCCCCTTACTGGTAACACGCAGCTTACGGACCAGCCAGGCCAACAGGCCTGCTTGGCAGACGGTCCCCTCACGAGGCCTCGGTGGCCAGGCAGTGACACTTACCCTCATGCCCAGCTCGATGTTCTCCCCACCGTACACCTCCATGCCCGGGTCCAGCAGGCCGATGTCCCCGAAGTACTCCCGGTCCACCACGAAGGAGCAGCCGATCATGGCCGGGGTTCTGGAGGGAAGCAGGCAGTGCATGAGCTGGTTGCTGGTGTGTGGCCCCGGATCTCCACAGCCTGGGTGGGCTCACCATCCTCTTTCCAAGTCCCCACACCTCATCCCTGCACTCCTCGCCTCCGCTTGGTCACTGTGCCCAGGGCTTGGGACACGGGCAGGGCTGCCTAGGACTTGCCTTTGCATCCCTCAGAGATGACAAAAACCAGTACTCAATTCAGGCAACTTAGTGGAAATTTTTAAAAATCTGTTTACCCGATGAGTTGTTTAGTTGCCCTGATCATCAGTCACTTGCCTACCTCCTTCATTATTTTATCTGTGTATCAGTAGTCAGGGCTGTAATGGGCGGTTGCACAGGCTGTGCACTGCTCAACTCTATGGAAGCTCTTCAATATCAGACTCTCTCTGAATGACACACCTTGAAGTTGTACAGTACACAACCTGTGCAGCTGTCTGCACAAGACTGCCAACTGTACTATTATTCCTGTAATAATTCTATTTACAGCTACATATTTTTAAAATGTCAGTAAATCTTGCCTTGTCCCAAGCAATTGTATCTGTAAAATCATGTGTCAATGTGCTGGTTATAGTTTTTTCTAAAATGCATTAACAATCTATCAGTGTTGAGACCTCCACTGGTCTCATGGAGCAGCGGTGGTCAAAGCAGGACAGGGTGAGACAGAGGCAGAGAAGAGTGGATGGTGTCACTGTGACTAGAACTGCATATTTGCTGACTCATTCATTCATTCATGATACATTCACGTCATGAATGCAGGATATACTGAGTGCCTATTAGTCGGAGGGGATAAAAAAGAGAAAGGAAAGAGAACGGAAAAATAGCTTGCTAGCAAGAAGTAGACACAGTCTCTGTTTTGTAAGAAAGCAGGACCTTCCAAGCTTTTGAAGGACGTGTTTCCCTCAAAACAAAGACACCTCCCTTGTAGGCTGAGGGCTTAGTTTCTTCCGAGCTCTGAGAGGACTAGTAAAGGCTCCCCGCTGGGGCTTCCCTGGTGGCACAGTGGTTAAGAATCTGCCTGCCAATGCAGGGGACACGGGTTCGAGCCCTGCTCTGGGAAGATCCCACATGCTGCGGAGCAACTAAGCCCGTGCGCCACAACTACCGAGCCTGCTCTCTAGAGCCCGCGAGCCACAACTACTGAAGTCCGCGTGCCTACAGCCTGTGCTCTGCAACAAGAGAAGCCACCGCAGTGAGAAGCCCGCGCACCGCAAAGAAGATCCAACGCAGCCAAAAATAAAATAGAACAAATAAATTAAAAAACAAAAACAAAAAGGCTCCCCACTGTCCCCGAAGGCCCTTGTGGTCCTGGCAAGGCTGAAGGCTAGGCTGTTTCCTGCTCCGTTCCCCCCGCTGTCCCGCTGCTCCCACAGGTATGAAGTCACTCATGATAACGCCATGATAAATTGTTCTCAATCACAATTTAAAAGAAGCATTTCTTTTAAATGTGACTAGGACATCAGAAGCAAATGCGCATGAGTTGTCCAAGAATAACAGAGGCATTAAAAGGCGATTATCCTTTTATTTGCAAAAAGATCCAATTTGTTCAGTCATGACATTTGAGCCACAAATCTAACAGCAACGAAATTTTAATGTCATCTGTGACGTGTAATAGCAAGCGTTTGACTGGTTAAGTTATGGTTCACCAACCAAGAGAGATATTTCTCTCATTTTCTTAACGACACAAGAATCTCAGGCGATCTCTGGTGAACTTAACTACCAAGCCCCTGCCAAGTCTGATGTAGCTAGTAAGAATTTTGTTATTACTGCTCAGAGTTCCAAAATAAACTTAAACTCAGAAGGCGATGGAGGCAGAATCAGCTGGCACGGAATTTATTTGCATGAGAAATTCTTGCTGTGTTTACAGAAAACAGCCAGGGCCGAGGGGTTCTCAGGTTCGGCCGGGCAGGGGGAGACGTGTCATCCTGGGGGCATCCTTACATCGGGGCTGATGTGCACATGCCGGGATATAGCAAGCGGCATCTCTGCAAAGGGTCCTCACCCGGGCTCCTGCCTTGTAAAGGCAACAGACATGCGGACACACACAGATGCATGGATGCACACAACACACACGCATGCGTGCACAAATACACACATGCAACAGACGGGTACACGGACACATGTAGACACACACGCAACACACCCCCTACAAGGCCAGACACACACCCAACAAACAGATGTACAGATATACAGACACATGTAATACACGTACATGGTCCCACAAACGTACCCACAGATAGATACCCATACACACAGACCTATACGTACACACCCAGATGCACACAGGTAACACCCAGAGAAACACACATGTGCACCCCCTGCACACATAAACACAGACCCACACCTGCAGTGAACACACACACAGATACACATACAACACATGCACACACAGAGACACACCCAGACACCCACGCATAGACAATACACATCCTCGAGTCCATGGAATTCTGGAGTTCTGTATAAATGGCAGCGCATAGAATTAAGGTCACAAACGGGTCCTTCAGCCTTCAGGAGAGTGACGAGGGACAAGAGAGTCATCTGCTCCCGGCGTCTTGAGGAAGAACACGTGCTCGCAGGCAGGGCGTGGCCAGGCAATCGGCACAAGCACAGGGAAGGCGTGTGCAGAATCTTGCAGACTCGCTGCCGAACTGGGTGCAGGGGTCACGTGCACTGGTGGCGAGTTTGTGGAGACACTGGGGTGGGTTGGCTCAACTGTCTTGGAAAAGTCCAAAGCTATGAAGAGAGAGCCAACAGTGCAGAGATGCAGAGATGCAACGACGACCCGGCTCGGTGCGCACCGGCTGTGTGACCTTGGGCAAGTCGCTCAGCTTCTCTGTGCTCGCCCCCCCGCCATAACGTGAGAGGCAGGATGGTGCCTCCTCCACAGGCTGCTGTGCAGATGAAAACTGCATAGAGGAGTGTCTGGAGCCTGGGAACCGTTTGCTGTTATTATTTTATCCCCTGATTCCACAGCTGGCATTTATCCTAGGAGACTAATCCAAAAGCTATTCGCACAAAGCTGTGCACTGCAGCGTGAGTTATAGCGGCCAAAGGGAAATCAACTTAGAGTCCATCAGTGTAGACGGTCGAATGAATTTCGAGCCATCCCTTTTATGGACTGTTACTTACCCAGCAGGCAAGGTGCTTACCAAGATCCCAGCATCACGGGAAGTGATGGCTCAGGAGAGGATAAGTGACAAGTCAGCAGGAAAATGTCACTATGCTACCACCGTGACCGGAGAAGCAATTATGTGTGAATGTGTGTGTGCACGCGGGTCTATGTGTGGTCTTGCGCGTATGTGTGTCTGTGTGTGCGTGTGTGTCTGGGTGGGCGGGTCTGTGTGGTTTTGTGTGTGTGAGTGTGTACATGTGTCTGTGTGCTTGCATTTGTATCTGTGTGTGCACCTCTATGCACGTGTGTGCATCTGTGTGTGATTTTGCGCATGTGTATGTGAGTGTGCATGTGTTACTTGGGGCCTCGTTCCACGCTCCCCTGCTTGGTGGGGGGGACTGGGTGCTGGGAGGGGGCCCCTCTGCCATCCCCCGAGCATCCCTCTTTCCTCCGGGCTCCTCTGGCCCCACCGGTAGCTGACTTACACCCGCGATCCCTCCACGTCCACCAGACACACTGGCCCGGATCTGGACTCCCCTCGGGGGACGGGGTGCAAACCCTCGCATGAGCTCCACGGCCGCTGGAAGACGCGAGCCGCGTGCGCCAAGGGGCTGCACTGCCCTCCCCGAGGCGGGGGTCCGTACGACGCAGCCAAGATGCTCTGCACCTGCACCCTGCTAGCAGCTCGGAGCCACGCGGAGACGGGGACGAACACGCCACTGGTCACGGGTCCCGTTTTGACCTCCTTCAGACCCGGGAAATGGCTCCATTTCAGTGACATGGTTTGCGCGTGCGGCCAGCCGCCCCCAGCACGCAGGACCCCTGGGCCCACACCAGGCCTGCGGGCCCCTCACTCCCCTTTCCACGTGCGGGGGGAGCCGTCTTTCTCCTGTCAAGGCTGAGATACTTCCCTCCAGCAATCCAAGCCTTCTTCTCACGCCTTTTTCTTCCTTGAGCTTCAAGGATAATGAACGGTAGGGAAATTTCCTAAAGGAAATCTTCACACACCAGCCTCTCCCGGGCTAATTTCCCACCCAGGCTCCAGGGTGGGTGTGCGAGCTGCGTCCTTCAGGAGAAGGGCAGTGGCTCCGCGCCCAGGTCCGAGGGAATCGAGAAATCCCAGAGCGGTTTTCAGGAGAGACCCTTCCAGGCCCGCGCTGTCCCCGGGGATGCAGTTTCCCAGCCTGGGGTCCGGGGGTCGGGGTGTGCAGGGTGAGGGGCTCCATCAGAGGGTGGCCAGGGGCCTTTTCTGCAGGCACTGGGGTGCCAGGGCTTTTCCCGCGGGGTCTGCTGTCGCGGGGAGGTTGTGTGAAGACCCTTCCCTGAGAAGGGGGAGAGGAGGGCCATCCTCTGGATAACAACCTTGGAAGCAAAGGACCTCGCGGCTGCCCCTGCGGTCCTGTTTCTCCTGAACCCCCAGCTCGAGGCCCGAGGGGAGCAGGCTGCTGGGAGCGCTGGGGACTGTGGCGCTGCCCCTCCCGGGGGACCAGTGGCAGCTCAGCTCCAGTGGACCGTCACCAGGCAGGAATGGGGGTCTGGGTTTTCCAGAATCTTCTACTTTTCAAAGAGTAGATATCAATTTCATGTGAAATCTCTTAAGTGTAAACATTGGTTCCAATTCAAAACATACACGGTACAATCGAGGCAACGCTGTAACTCAGAGGCGGGCTTTTCTAGAACTTGAAGGACGCGGTTACGCCACTCTTGGCTCCCCGGGTGCCGTGCACACTGAGACGGGAGATTCAGAGTGACTTCTCTCCCCAGGAAGAGGGGCCGGGGGTGTGGGGGCAGGGCAGTGAGTCCCGGCACGGAGCCTGCTGAGGGCCAGGCGGGTCTGGGGAGGCTCTGGTCGGCTTCCTCTCTTCCTCGAGGGACACACCACATCTGATTCCCAGGGAGCCTTGGCTGGGCGCGGTCAAAGCCATCAGCCCCGCAGGCAGCCTTGAGAGGCCCTTGTCGGGACTCTGCTTCCCCGCGGGCTGCACTCGTGCCCGTCGAGGACGCAGTTCGGGGACTGGCTGTGGTCGTGGCTCCGCGTGGAGCTGAGGAATGCTTGTGACTGTCACACGCAGCATTGGCTCCAGACTGCCACCATGGTCTCGCCTCAGCGTGGCTGTGTGCCAGCTCCATCCCCACGGGGACGCCCTCCTGGCAGATGCCCAGCAAGGCTTAGACCTTCCAGTCTTGGCGTAGGGCTCTGCAGAGGGCCTGTTCTGGACATTGGCCATTTTTGGTTACCCAGCGTGTTCACTTCCCGTGGCTGCAAAAAGAAGTACCATAAACGGGCTTGAGACCAGAGATGTGTGTCCTCTCCCAGCTCCTGGCGCCGGAAGTCCGAGGTCGAGGTGTGTCGGACTGGAGATGTGTGTCCTCTCCCAGCTCCTGGCGCCGGAAGTCCGAGGTCGAGGTGTCCCAGGGCCGCGCTCTCTCTGGAGGCTCCAGGGGAGGGGCCTTCCTGCCTCTTCCAGCTGCTGGGGGCCCCAGGCTTCCCTTGGCTTCTGGCTGCATCCCTCCCGTCTCTGACTCCAGAGAGGCGTGGCCTTTCCTCTTCTGTGTGTGTCTCTCCTAAGGACACTCAAGACGGCATTCAGGGCCCAGCCTGGTGATCCAAGGTAATCTCCCTGTCACAAGATCCCATTTGCATCTGCAAAGATCCTTTTCCCAATGAGGTCGCCTTCATGGACTCTGGGGGTCAGGATGTGGACACGGCTGTCTGCTGCGCCCAGCCTTCTTATAAACACCCCAACATCTTTTAGGGAGACCGCCTCTCTCCTTGCACATTCTCCCTGTGGGACGGTGAGTCCCCAGACCTTCCCCTCTGTGAAGGTCAGCGGGTCACTGGAGGATGCCTTCTCCCATCTGCTTCCAGGAAAGGTGGGGGCAGGGGTTTGCGGCCCAAGTTCAGCCACTGCCTCCTCTGTTCCGGGGACTGACTGGGGTGGAGGGACACCCGTCCGCAGTGTCGGGGAGACGTCTGGCTTCCCTGCTGCCTCCTCCCCAGAGCCGCTTCAGCTCATGTTAGCTGGCGCCCTTCTCTGTTGCTGGAATCCTCCTGGTCCCGGCTCAGAGATGCTAATTTAACTGGCATGGTAAGCAGCTTGGGCATTGGAATTATTGCTTTTTTGTATGTTTTGAAATTCATTTTAAAAATCAACTCAACAAAGTTAAATTTACACGCAACAGGACACATCCCTTGAAAGCGTGTGGTCCGAGTGGTCTGACGGAGGGAACGCCGGGTAACCTGGTCCCAGTCCAGATGGAGAATGCGCCCACGCAGGGCTCCTCGGCCCTCCACCAGGGGACTGCATTCTCTGGGCTTCTTCTAGATACACTACGTGCTCTCGTGTATCTGGCTCTTTCGCCTCTGTTTCACCATTTTGAGTTTCACCCGCATTGCTACGGGCATAACCGTTTATTCCCTTTTAGTTCTGAGAAGTCTCCCGTTACATAGACAGGTTACGCTTCGTTTATCTAGTCACCTGTTGGTGGACATTTGGGTCCAATTCGGGACTACTGAATAAAGCTGCCACCACAAACATCCGCAGGTGTCTTTTGTAGACGTGCGTTTTCATTTCTTTTGGGAAGATACCTGGGGTAGAGCGGCTGGTCCTAAAGGAAGTGTTTTTACCTCTTTGAGAAACTGCAAGTATTACAAAGTGGTCTTGCCGATGCCTTCTCGCACCGGCCGCGCTGAGAGTTCCGACTACTCCGTGTCACCAGCCCCCGCTGCCACTGGTCTGTCTGTCCGTTCTAGCAGGCGTGCAGGGCCCCTCACTGGGACACTGTGTGACTCCGTGGGGGGCGTTTTTCTATGAGTGTGTTACCACTTTGTCTACCTTCCTGTGTGCAGTATCTGTTCGAGGCCTTTGCCCATTTTTTGTTTGGGTTTTGGGCATCAGGGGTTTCAAATGCTCTCCGGGTAATAGTAATAAGGAGCAAAGCTTGAGACGATGCACAGTCTGTCCAGAGCGTCCCTCCTGCAGCTCGGGGCATCCAGGCTGCTCTGAGACTTAATTTCTCTCTGGACGGCTCTTTGCTCATGGAGGGTAGGTGCCCGGAAGCCCCCGTAAGACACTCCTAGGGGAAGAGAGAGCTTTCAGAGGCGCAGTGAGGGATGGTCTTGGTCACTTGCGGGCAGAGCGGCTTGTTTCAGCAGGGACACATCAGTTTGTACAGATGAGGCAGGAGGGTCCCAGCCCGAGGCCCTAAGATCCAAACCTCTACAGGGGGGACCTGGCCAAGGCTGCAAGGGGTCAACAGATCCTGCAGATGCACGTTCACTCCAGGAAAAAAACACCTCCATCCTGCTGGGCCCCCAGGAGAAAGTGGCAGCCCCGCTAGATTTTGAAACGTAGATTTCCCAGGGGCTCAGCAGACTAGGGAAGTGGAAGGAAGGGCTGCAAACTACAGAAGCTCAGTCGGTGATGGAAACAAACAAAGCAGGCCAGGTGCAAGGAATGACAGCGCAGGTAGGAAGGCAGAGCGTCAGGGAGACAATGGGGAGGGGTGGGGATTTCGGGAACTGGAGACCACCACGCTGTTTAGACAGGGGACTGCTTCTCAGCCCCAGGGACTGCTGCCTTGGGAGAATGTGCACCTTCCCATTTTTATAAAGATGCTGGGCTGTAGGTTTTTTTAAAATTTATTTTATTTATTTATTTGTGGCTGCGTTGGGTCTTCACTGCTGCATACGGGCTTTCTTCTCCAGTTGCGGCAAGCGGGGGCTACTCTTCGTTGTGGTGCGCGGGCTTCTCATTGCGGTGGCTTCTCTTGTTGCTGAGCACGGGCTCTAGGCGTACGGGCTTCAGTAGTTGTGGCACACGGGCTTCGTTGCTCTGCAGCATGTGAGATCTTCCTGGACCAGGGCTTGAACCTGTGTCCCCTGCATTGGCAGGTGGATTCCCAACCACTGTGCCACCAGGGAAGCCCTGGGTTGTGTATTCTTTTTTAATATTTTATTTATTTATTTAGTTAGTTATTTGGTTGTGCCAGGTCTTAGTTGCAGCAGGCGGGCTCCTTAGTTGTGGCATGCAAACTCTTAGTTGTGGCATGCATGTGGGATCTAGTTCCCGGACCAGGGATTGAACTTGGGCCCCCTGCATTGGGAGCATGGAGTCTTAACCACTGCACCACAAGAGAAGTCTCTGGGTTGTGTATTTTTAACACGTGAAAATCTCTCCGTTTTCATGTTTGGGAACCGATTCAAAATAAAATAAATGCTTTGCAGGACAATCTCTGGGGTCTGCTGAAATGCCTGGGGTCTCTGTAGCACACACACAGCATCTGTGGTCTCCAGGTCTCTGCTCTGCTCCCCAGCTCGTGTTTTTGACTCTTGTGGTGCTGTCTCTGCCTCTGTCTCCCTCGTTCTCTCTAAGTCTCTGTCTCCTTTCCCTCCCTCTCTCCATCTCTGCACCTCTCGTCCTCTCTACTCCGTGATGCCTTCCCAGTTTTGTCCCTTGGTCTCGCTGCCGCCTACCCTGACTCTGTCTTCCTCTGTTCGTCTCTCTTTCTTGTTCCCTCTCACTTTCCTTGGTGAGTCCCCTGTTCTGCTCTCTCCATGTCGGTGTCCCTTTTCTCAGTCTCTTTTACTGGCTCTTTCTCTTTGGGTGTTAGCTCTGTCTGTCTGTCTGTCTGTCTCCCTCCCTCTCCCCCGCCCCTGCCCGACCTCATCATCTCTCAGGTCACACACTGGAGCCGCTCCCAAGTTCCCCCATCACATCACCATGTCCCTCTGCACATCTGGGCAGACGCTGCATCCCACCACATTTACTTGCCCACATGGTGCAGGCCCTGGCTTTCTGCAGGAGAGCACCCCCGTCCCTCCAGCCCCCAAGCCCCCTGCGGCAGCCCTGCCCCACCGCCACCTCACGCTGTCCTGGCTCCTTCCAGGGCAGGCCCTGCCCCGGGGCCCCGGGGGTCGGCTCACCTGATGGGCGCTGCCTCGTCACCACGGTCCAGCCAGTCCTGGGGCGGGATGATGTACATGCACCAGAGGCCCCAGTTGTAGCCGTGGGCAGCGCTGGCGTACTGCTGCACCTCAAACGTGTCGTACTTGATGTTGTCGATGGCCGGCAGGACGATGCGCCGGCGGTCCTCCCGGATCCGCGAGAGGGCGGGCTCGGCCCTGCGGGGCGGTGCATGCCCATGGGGAAGGGCATGGATGCCGGGACCCCCGCCCCATTCCCCCAGGTGGGGGGGCCGGAGCCGGGCCTCCTCCAGGGAGGCGGCCACACCCGGGTCTGATGGCGCCTGCGGACGGCGGATCCAAGAGCTTCACCTCTGGAAGCCCCGGGGTCACCTGGGCTGCAGACCCGCCTGCCAAGGTCTCGCCCTTCCCGGGCCAGCCCGTGGCTAAGGACTGATGGACACCAGGGATACGGGCACACGGATTGGGCCCAATCTCTGACGCCTCTATGGGGCCGTCCTGGCTCCAGAGGCCCTGTGGGTCAGCTCAGTCTGTTCCTTCACAGCTCGGCCTCCCCCTCCAGCGCATCCCACTTCCCGGCCCTCCTTCCCCGCACAGGTGGCCGTACGTTCATTTACAAGCATGAACTGAGGACCTGTTATGTGCCACACCCTGTTTTAACACACCGGAGTACATTCACGAACTAGAAAAGAAAAAAACATCCATGCCTCGGGGAACTTAGGATACACTGAAGGGACAGAAAGGCTACCAGGTACTGTTGTGCAGTGCACAACCTACACAACAGTATGTGGTAGCCCTGACTGGGTGGGGGTCAGGGGACAGAAAATAATGTATAAATAAATGATATAATATATTAGGAGGTGATAGCTGTTGTGGTGGAAAAAGAGAGCAAGTAAGGAGGATTTGGAATTGCACTTTTAAATAGGGTGCCTGGTGTATGTTGCCCTGGGTGGTGAGCAGAAGGAGGTGTAGGATGTAGCAGGTGGTTGGGAGAGCTGGGGAGGGGGGGGGCACTCCACGCAGAGGGAGCAGCCAGTGCTGAGCTCCTGGGATGTGCTGGTGCACTTGGGGAGCGGGCCAGGGGCCTGGAGTGGCGAGATGGGGGCAGTGTAGGCAATGAAGCCAGGGAGGACGGGGACCAGAGGACATGGGCTGTCGGTTGCGGATTCTCCTTGCAGGAGTCCAAGAGGCAAGCAGGTGCAGCTTGACCCCGGAGACGGCCTTGTCTACCGCAAGGATGAGATGCTGCCCGAGGGCCTGTCACCGAACTGGAGTTCAACGTGGTCATGAGCAGCCCACTGACGGGGCAGCCAGAGAGACGAACGCTACAGGGGGCCAGGGGGCCAAGCTCAGGCAGGGACAGCGGGGGCAGGGTGGGGCTGGGGCAGTTCTCTGACCCTGGCGAGATGCGCCACGTGGCCCGCCTTCCTTCCTGTGCTTCCAAGCGACAGCCTGGTATTTACCTGCCTTTCAGCTTCATGAGGAGGCTTAATTAATTACTGTTAGCAGAGTGCTTCAGAAGTGAAAAGCTCTCTGCAAATGCCACATCTGCTAATCAGGCAGGATCTTTGTGGAGGCAATTCTTGGAGGGAAGGGCTATTTGCAGATGGATTACTGGGTTTTCAGTTGTGAAAATTAAAGTTGCATTTTGACGTGGTAGACTTGTGATTCTCCCAAACGCCCTCCAAATGCTCCAGGGAGTTTAACGAATGTTAGAGGGACAGAAAGGCCTCCGAGTACAGCTGTGCAGTGCACAACCTGCACAACAGTATGGAGTGACCCTGGTGGGGAGCGCAGACCATAACACGTCATTAACGATAGAACGTGACAGGTGTCATGGGAAAAGAAGACTCGCTTCATGAGGGTGGCAGAGGAGAGGGAAGTGGGGGCCAGCAGGGGAAGTCAAAGCAGAAAGAAGCCGAATCTCGGTCAGGAACGTACTGGGACAGACGCAGCGCTGAGAACAAACTCGTGGTCCTGGGGTGACTGAGTCGCCACAGCGAGAGTGGAGGGAACGTGGAGGAGAGGGCTCCACTCACCTGCCAACCAGGCACAAAAGCCCTGGTCCAACCAGCAGGAGCCATTAGGAAAACCAAGAACTTTGAGAGACACCGAAGGCCAGACCCTCGTGGTCCCCAGCTGGGGATGCCGGCCAGGCGCTGTGCGACTTGATCAGCACGTCCACCACGAGCACCTCCTTACGGCGTTCGCAGCTCTCGCGTTTCCCACAGGGGAGTATCTCAGCGAACGTCTTAGTTTAGGCTTCACAGAGTTTGAAGGTGTAATGTGGGCGATTTGATATAAAAACGGTGAGGTTTAGTCTCTCTTGAAACAGGGCAAGCTGCCCACCCACCCCGGGGCTGACTTTTCCCTGCAGCCCCTCTGATGGGTGCTCAGGCTGCCCCTGGGTGCAGGGCTCGTACTCCCTGCCCAATGTGGGCCCCCTGCAGACCCTCCCACTGTGGGTCTAACTTAAGGATCTCGAGATGGGATCATCCTGGGTGACCTGGGTGGGCCCTAAACCCACTGGCAAGGGTACTTAGGAGAGAGAAGAGGAGAGACAGAGTCACACAGAGAGGAGAAGCCGTGTGAAGACGGAGGTAGAGATTGGAGGGACTCCTGGAGCCCCCAGAAGCTGGGAGAGGGTTGAGCGGTGTCTTCCCACAAAGATTTGTCCATCTGGAACCTGGGAGGGGACCTTATTTGGAAATAGAGTCTTTGCAGATGTAATTCAGTTAAAAAGCCCAAGATGAGATCAGCCTGGATTGGGCTGGGCCCTGAAAGCAAGACGTCCCAGCCTTCCTGCGGGGCGGGCCCCGGGGCACCTCTAGATCATCTCACGCAGATGCTCCTGCGTCACTGAGGTATCCCTGCCGCCCCCCTGGCCACATCCCCCTCCAGGTTTCTCACTAGCAGCCCACCTCACCCCTGCATGGATGGGTGGGAGAAAATGAGTGGACGCTTTGATCTAGAATTTTCCATAAGGATGAGAAATTGCTTCCACCTTGTGCCCTAGACTTAGGTCTCCATTAACTGAGACCCTACAGACCACGTGTTCATGCAGGAACTGCCCCCAACCTTTGTGTGTTCCCCTGGCCTGAGGTCACACGAGCAGCCTCATTTGACTGTCACCTGCTGGAATGAGTGGCCAGTTCAAATTCCTTTGGGGACAAGGTGGGGATACAGGTCAGTCTTCATCTATATGCATCAGAAACAGGTTCTGGGTCCAGGAGCTGGACATGGAGCGGCCACGTGGCTGGACTCGGCTGCCCCCGGCCCTGCCAGGCTCATCCTCTTTGCGGGGGTCCTGCAGGCGCCAGCAGACCCCGCCGACCCCGCCCGGGGCCCAGCCCCGCCCTTACCAGCCCACGCTGAACTCCACGTGGGCGTCGAAGAAGCCCACGACAGGGGCCGTGGCGACCTTCCAGCCCTGCAGGCGAGCCCGGATCAGGCCTTCTCTCCTGCCGTTTCGGACGATTTTCACAAGGCCCGGGTACCTCTTGCTGACGTACTGGTCCAGGTGGAGCTTGAGTTCCACTGCGGGGGACACAGAGATGTTTCGGGCGTGACACCTCGGGAGGGCCTGAGGTCACCGAGACCCACGGTCGTTGTGTGCCCTGGATCTGTATTTCAGAAACATTTAAGAGGACCCGCCGTTGCTGGACGTGGGGTCGGGGTGCTGGGGGGGACCTCGGAGAGATAAAAGCCCACCTCACGGAGCTGCATTCCAGCGGGAGAGACAATGAACAATCAAGCCAGACTGATTGAGACAGAGGCACGTGTTATGAGGACAGCAGAAGACGGGGCCGAATCACTCAGCTGTAGAAAGGAAGGCAGTCCGTGGACAGACGGATGGATAAACAAAGTGTGGTCCGTCCATACAACGGAACAGGATCCAGCCTGAGAAAGGGGGAAATTCTCACACATGTTACTACGTGGAGAAACTCAAGGACGTTACGCTCAGTGAAATAATCCGGTAGCCAAATGACACATCCTGTGATGCCGCTTATATGAGGTCCCTAGAGCAGACAGCTCCACAGAGACAGAAAGCAGGGTGCTGGGGGCCAGGGGCTGGGGAGGGTGGTGGGGAGTTAGTGGGGTTTTTTGGGGTTTTTTGGGGGTTTTTTTGCTGTATGTGGGCCTCTCACTGTTGTGGCCTCTCCCGTTGCGGAGCACAGGCTCTGGGGAGTTAGTGTTTAATGGGGACAGAGTTTCACTTTGGGAAAGTGAAAATGTTCTGGAGATGATGATGGTGATAGTTGCACAATGATGTGAATGTACTTAATACCCCTGAACTCTACACTTATTTTGTAAATGGTTAATTTTATGTTATGAGAATTTCAACTCAGTAAATTATTAAAAAACTGATGAGGGCGCAGGCGTCTACGTGAGGAAGCTCCCAATGGCCAAAAGCGCAAGCAACAAAGTAAGTCACCATAGCGACAGACTTTAGCCGGTAGGAAAAGGAAAGGGGAAAAGCGAGTGGACACCTGAGTGAGGCGGGAGCTTCTCCGGGTCGGCTGGGCATGTGCGGGGCAGGCTGTCTCCATCCCTCCCCGTCAATCACCAGGCTCCAGTGGACACTCCTGCGAGGGCAGCCGTGGCCCCAGGGGTGCCCCCAGCCGCAGCAGCCAGGGGCCCCGCAGGCCAGCCTTCCTGTGCTCCGTCCCCCCCTCTCCAGGGCCCCGCAGGCCGGCGCCGGCCACCCGCTCCCTGCTCCCTTGACGGTGTTGGGCGGGGCTCCCCCCCCCCACCGCCCCGCGTAGACACAGAGCACACGCAGGGCTGGAGCTCCTTCAGGCCGTCCTGGAGGGCTCTGGGAGGCCTCGCCCCGCTCTCCTCCACCCGCCCCCCGACTCCCGAGGTTAGGAGGAGAGGCTGCTGTGATGGGAGAGACTGGGGATGAGGAGGGGCCGGCAGGCCCGGCTCAGCGCGCCAGGGGCTCGGTGTGGGGACCGCAGACGGGGGCAGGCGGGGCACCTCCGGACCCCTGTTAGGGGCTCGGAGCCCCTGTGCCTGCTGGGTGTGGACAGCGTGCTGGGCTGGACTGACGCTGACGCAGGGCCACGCTAAGGGCCCGGGTTCCGGCCGTGAGCGCCAGTCCAGCTTCCCCACCAGCAAGGCTCCCACTGCAGCTTTGTCCAGGTGCCATTAGCATTTGGGAGAACTCAGCACGCTGGGGGCCTTCCTGGCTGGAGGAGTGATAGCACCCTGCCACAGCTCAGGTCCACCCAGAACCTCAGAATGAGACCTCAGGTGGAGGTAGGATCTTTGTGGATATAACTAGTTCAGGATCTTGAGGTGAAAACCTTCCGGGTTAGGGTGGGCCCTAACTCCAAGGACAAGTGTCCTTAGAAGAAGAGGAGAGACACAGACACACCGGGAAGAGGCCTTGTGAAGGTGGAGTCAGAGGTGGGAGGGGTGTGGCCCCAAGCCCAGGACACCAGGGATGCCGGCAGCCGGGAGAAGCTGGGCGAGGCAGGAAGGACCCTCCCCTGGAGCCCCTGGAGGGAGTGTGGCCCGACTCCCAGCCCGAATTCAGACTTCTGACCTCCAGGCTCTGACATGCTTCCCTCGCGGGGGGCCGGGCTGGTCCCACTCACCGTTATCGCTGTTGTCGTCCACCAGGATGACCTCCCTGAGGAGCTGGGAGGGCGTGTGGTTGACCACGCTGTGGACGGAGCGCAGGATGACCGAGAGGGCTTCATTGACAAAGATGAACACCACGGAGATCTGGGGCAGGTCGTCCGAGTAGGTCATCTGTCTGCACCTGCGGGAGAGACGGGGTTGGGGGCAGTGGTCCGTGTCGGGATATGACGGGGAGGTGGGAGCCTGGTGCCCCCGCGGGATGCCCGCTGGGACCAGTTCTCAATCCTACTCCCAGTGGAAGGGCGACAGCAATGCCACAGATGGAAAAGGACCGAGCACGGTGAGAGGAACAGCACGATGATGTCTCAGAAGCTCTGGACTTCAAGGCTCTGAGCCTGACCTGCTGTCTCCTGCAGAAAGGCAGGGAACTTGCACTTTAAGGGGTTAAAGTCCCACTGGGATCACACAGAGCATTCTTCCTTGATGCCCTTGGAAGGCGTGGAAGAGAGATGAAAGGAATGGTAGTCATCTCGCGGTGCAGCCCAGTGGAGGGCCTGGGAGAGAGCCCAGCCCGGAGCCACGTCAGCTCCCCAGGCCCAGCTCTACCTGAGCCCCGGGCGGTCACGGGGCAGGTGGCATCTACCGGGTGGGTCCTGCGCTCGGCGGCCACTGTCCCCTGAAGTGGGGTCTAAGTAGACAGTGCTGGGCTGCCCCGGAGGGCGGAGCGCTAGTGCCAGACGAGGGCTGTTGAAGCGGGAGCGATGCCTGCACCGGACAGTCTAATCGTGGCCTCCACCCAACCTTAGCATCGAGGGTGAAATGGAAGGATGAAGTATCTTCTTCCCAAGGTCTTATCTTGGCTGTAGGGCTGTGGGAGGGGAAAAGATGGGGGGCAGGGAAAGAAAATATTCCACGTTGGGTGTGGGATGAGGCCGGTGACAGTGGAATAAGTTCACAAAGGGGCAAAGGGAGCTCTCAAAACTAGAGAAATGGGGAAAAAGGAACAAAAAATAAAGTAAGACAGAAGGCACCCAATCAAGTACGTTGGCTGCTACAATAAATGCAAACAAACTTACTCTCTCCTTAAAATGCCAGAGGCTTTTCTTTCTTTTTTTTTTTAGAGGCTTTTCAATGAAGTTAGATACATGCACTAAAGCACACTTACACATGCACACACTCACTCAGTCACACGCAGCTCTGCTGTGTGCAGTTTACAATAAACACAGTTCAGATAGAGTGATTTTTAATTAATTAATTAAATTTATTTATTTATTTATTTTTGCCTGCGTTGGGTCTTCGTTGCTGCACGCGGGCTTTCTCTAGTTGAGGCGAGCGGGGGCTGCTCTTCATTGTGGTGCGTGGGCTTCTCATTGCGGTGGCTTCTCTTGTTACGGAACACGGGCTCTAGGCACGTGGGATTCAGTAGCTGTGGCACGTGGGCTCAGTAGTTGTGGCTCGTGGGCTCTAGAGTGCAGGCTCAGTAGTTGTGGCGCACGGGCTTAGCTTCTCTGCGGCATGTGGGATCTTCCCGGACCAGGGCTCGAACCCGTGTCCCCTGCATCGGCAGGTGGATTCTCAACCACTGCGCCACCAGGGAAGCCCTCATCTCCTCTTCTAAGGACACCAGTCCTATGGGATGAGGACCTCATTTTGCCTCAGTCACCTCTGTAAAGGCCCGGTCTCCACAAACAGTCACATCCTGAGGTCCTGGGGTCAGGACTTCAACCTGTGCATTGGGGTCGGGGGACACAACTCAGCCCCTAATGAGACCCAAAGGCTAAGGAGGGCCCAGCCAGGCTAGGACCAGGGCCGTCTGGTGCGGCAGGAGTGTGTGGGCACGTCTCCCATGGGGCAATGCGCTGTCTCACTTTATTGTGTTATAAACATGTGCAGCTTACAAATGGTTGTTTAAATTAGAAATCGTGCAATATATATGGCTCATTTCTGTCCACCACAAATTTGCATAAAAATAATCTGTTTTCCTAATAATATAATCCCCTTCTCAGTTGAAAAAAAAATTGGTTGGGTTAAATATTGAGCAGAGGGAATTCCCTGGTGGTCCAGTGGTTAGAACTTGGTGCTTTCACTACTGTGGCCCGGGTTCAATACCTGGTGGGGGAACTAAGACCCCGCAAGCCGAGTGGTGCAGGCCCAAAACTTAAAAATCAATCGGTAAATATTGAGCAGATCGAAGGGGATGTACCTCACACACAGGGAGGTATGACGTCAGTGAGGAAGTAAGAAGCCCACGCCTAAAACCCCGTTGAAGACAAGGAAGATGACCACCCTCCCCCTGAGCTTCTCTTTACAGCCTCTGACCCCAGGCACCTGGCCAGTAGCGCACGTGGACTTGACCTTAGGCCGGAGTCCTCCTGTCCTGCCTTTGCACCCACACAAGCTCCGGTGGCCGCTGGGTGGGACGGTCCCACGATGCCCCTGCTTCCCTCCTCCGGGCAGGAGGTGCTGTGTTTCTGGGTTTCCTTCTGCACCTGAATCGGCCTCAGTTTCAGGACTCAATGTCCTCCCACCCTGCAGGGACTGTCCCTGCGCTGAAGCCCGGGAGGCACTCGGTGGGGCGGGGGAAACAAAACTGGCCGCCACACTGCAGCCCTGGAAGAAGTCGGTCTGAGCGGAGCCAGAAGGTTCTCCTCTGTAATTGAAAGCCCTGTTCCTGTCCGACAGAAAATAAACCACGTTTATGGTGATTGGAAAGAATCAGAGTTCAGCAAGGGGGCGGCTCTGAGAGCTTGTAAACCTGGTGACCCAGGGTGGGCCCCAGGAGTGGGGCAGAGGCCGGGACAGAGGGACTCGGGCCCTGGGGCAGGAGTACCCCATCGCCCCCTCCCAGAGCCTCCGGAGGTGGAGGGAGACGCAGAGCACTCCCACACGCCGAGGCTCTTGGTTCACCGTAAAACTGAAGGAAGACGGTGACACACTTTAAAGATTTCCACTTGACCGAGTAACATTTCTACGTTCAAACTTGAAGCTAACAGGTACAGGTCGGGAGAGAACCAGACATCGCCCTGAGCCCTCCCTCCTGCTGCCCCCACCTGCTCCCCTTAGTGATGAAAACGGTCCATTTCTGGCCCACCTGCTCTGGCAAAGCCTTGGCCTTGACTGTGGTCTTCCCGCCTCTCCCTTGACCCTCTTCCTGGATGCGCTCACCGTCCGCTGAGAAAGGGCGTGGTCTCTAGGATGTGTGAGCTGGGCCCCCTCTGACCTGACCTCTTTGTCTGTTTCCTTTTGCTCACTCAATGGCCCCACGTGGCCCCAGTGCCTCCAGGAGCACGCCAGTCCTGCTCCTGCCTCAGGGCCTTTGCACGCCCTCCCCCACGCGGCCACGTCACTGACTGCTCTTTTGCTCTTTCTCCCCTGGGCTGGGAGCCCCCAGGCAGGGCCCCCTGTTTGTCTGGTCACTGCTTCACGGCATCTAGAACGGCAGACGCTCTGTGGGCTTCAATCCACAACATCTAAGAAGCTTCCATTCACAGCTCCTGGTGGAATCAAAGGTGGGGCATGAGGTGCACGTTTAAAGCTGCGACATGTGTCGGAGCTCTGAATGATTTTGTGTGAGGGAGACGTTAAAAGTCTAAACTTGAGCCTCGAGCTGAATCTGAGGATACGTGTGCACGTACCACATGGGCGCATGCATGCCCACACTCACACACACACCCACGAGCCCTTGACAGGGATGCGCCCCCGCCCCACTTGGGGCATCTGCCTTATTTGGGGGTCTCTCCAGTCCCGGCTGAGGCACGTCTAATCCATCCAGACCAGGGTCTCCCAGTCTCAGCCCTATGGACTTTGGGGCTGGATATTCGGAGAATTCTCTGTTGTGGCGGTCGTCCTGTGTGTGATACAGTGATTAGCAGCATCCTTGGCCCCCAGCCAGGTTGAGACACCCCAGAATGCCTCCAGACATCTCCAAATGTGCCCCGGGGTGAAATCGCCCGGTGAGAAGCCCTGGTCTAGGATCTGGGGTCTGGCCCTGGGGAGGCTGGGATTTGGCAACCGTTCCAGCATCGTGAGGCTCCCGGCACCCAGCCCAGCATGCCCGGTGACTGATGTTAGCTGGAGTGCAACCCTCCCTAGGTCCCTTCCTCCCCCTGAAAATCGAACTCCAGCCGGAGTCCTGTCCATCCCGTCTCAGGCTGTGGATGTCTGCTGTGGTCCTGCTCAGTCTCTTCCTTGTCCCCCATAACATGTGTGGTTCACCCACCACTGTCACATTCTAAGTCACTGGGTGGAATCCCAGCCCCTGGATGAAGCGGGGGGATGTGACTGGGTCTGAACCAGGCAGCTCAGCAATAGGCTCAGGAACAGACACACAGAGACATGGAGAGGTTGGCTGGGGCCTTGGGGAGATAGGATGTGAGGCCGGAGCAGCTGCATCCATCTTGCGTCCAGTGGTCGGGATGAAGCCAATGAGGCCAATAGCAGAGCAGAGAGATGGTGAGATGCCAGGTCCAGACGACATCAGCTGAGCCTCAAATCCAAGTCTACACGAAGCCAGTGCTTCCTCCAGACTTTGTAGTTGCAGGAATAATACATTCTCTCCCCGTCTCTCCCTTTCTCTCTCTTTTTCCAGCTTAAGCCAATTTGAAATGGATCTTCTGTCAGTCCTGATCCTGCACAGGTCCTGCCATGTGTATGATGCAGGGACACACTTGGGAACGCCCCTCAGGAGGGGTCTGCCCAGTCAGCCGCACCCCAGAGTCCCAGACCAGGCCGAGAGGGGAAGACAGGGGACCAGCGGGTCCAGTGCTCACAGAGGTTAGTCTGGCCTTGGCCATTGCATACCCTGTCTCAGGACGTCCCCGTCCAGGCGAGCTGGGGGCTTTCTCACATTGTTGGTAGAGATGACACCAGCTGCTTCATCCTAACCCTGTCCTTGTCTAGGACACAGACAGTCCCAGCTTGGGACCTCGGCTTCCTCGAGAGGAGGAGAGAGCCAGCTGCCAACCTCCTCAGCTAAATTATCGGCAAACCCCATTCTTTGAGACTTGGGTGTCCCCGCCATCCTGAGAGGCAAAGACTGAGCAAACTAAACACTGGAGGGGCTCTGAGAAGGAGCAGGAAAGCATCCTTGCCTTGCATGGTGCAAGGTGAGACACACAGACAGCCCAGGACACAGGAGGGGATGTCTGTAGGGGGCTCTGGGAACGATTCCTCTGTTCTTAA